CCATCTGCAGATGGGAGGGAGAAAGAGACAGACAGACAGACAGACAGACAGACAGACAGAGAGAGAGAGAGCATTCAACAAAGGGGTCATTTTAGGCATGATGCTGCAGAGACAGAATGTAAACACTGGCAGGAGTTCCACAAAGCACCAGATTGGACTCAGAGGTATCATTTCAAGCATTTTAGTTATTAAATTACTTGGCCAACTTAAAGTTCAAGCCAAGATATTTTTAAACAAAGACTGCAATTTTATCTTGCCCATGCTTTAGTTTCACTGTTGTGCCTGCCCAAGACGTTATTTCTCCAATCAGAGTGTTTACTGGGAGCATATATTTCAATATAAAAGAAAGCTCAACAGAAAAAGTCCTGACTACTGATGGTAAAGAGTTTCAGATGACTGGTCATCAGTTTAAAACTAGTTTACTCTATTTAAATAAAGCTGCATTTTCAGCAAAAGTCAATATTGATGCTTGTTTTAAAAACATACAAGAACTTAACTGCTCATTGTTGGAAACAAATATATATATGGAAAAACAAACCAAACAGGACCTCAAGACAGCCTAGCCCATGCTGAAACAAAGTTTCTGTGTTGTTTTTTAATTCAATCGTGCTAATTTATACCCTGCAAATCCAGCTAGTGGCAAGTCAAGAAACAAAACAGCTAACCCATAGCCCCACACCTCCAGATGCTTTCCTGGGTAAATATCTTCTTTTACCACCTCACGTGAATCTTTCTCTCCTAGAGCAATGGAGTTTCTGTAATCCTGCCCTTATAGAGGGGAAAAGCCATCTACCCCCTCACCCTCAATTTGTAAGTATAGCTGAATCAGCATATAATATAAAGAGAGAGAGAGAGAGAGAAGCAGGTGGACTGTTTAGAATTCTGAAATATGTAGCTCTAATCTTGGCTAGCACTGGTTCCTGGTTGCCAGAAGCAAGTTCCAAGAGCTCTTTTCAGCACATGGCTGCTTCCCTTTACAAAAAGGGCAGGCATGGATTATTATTTACCAGAGCGGTTCTCAAACCTGGCAATTTTTAAGAGGATGGGCTTCCACTCCCAG